GTACTGGCAAAGAAACAGACCTGAGGATCAGTGGAATGGATTAGAAGATGCAGAAACAACTCCAGACACACTCAGCCACCTCATCTTTGACAAAGAAGCCCAAAACCCTCCCTGGAGGGTTTTAATATATGGTGCTGAAAAAACTGGGTTTGAACTTGCAAAATATTAAAACTAGATTCATCTCTCAGCATGCACTAAACTAAAATAAAAATGGATTAAAGATCTAAGTATTATAACAGAAACACTGAACAGGCTGGAAGAGAGGTAAGAGAGAACTCTTGAAGAAATTTGTGTAGGAAAAAATTTCATGAACAAAACCTCAGTTGCTTATTTGCTCATGAACTTGCACAGTCAACAAGTGGGATGTCTTCTTATTAAAAGGTTTCTGCACAACAAAACCCCAACAGTGTGAAGAGACAACCCACAATGTGGGAAGAACTTTTCAGCAGATCTTCCTCAGACAAAACTCTACTATTGAGAATATATAAAGAACTTTAAAAAATCAGACCTCCCAAATATAAAGACCCAATCCAAAAATGGGCCTTTGAAAAGAATAGACATTTCTCAGAGAAATAAGTAGAAATAACAAATAAACATTTGAAAAAATGTTCAACATCACTGGTCATTTGAGAGATGGAAATGAAAACAAGGCTGAGATTCCATCTCACCCCACAAAGAATGGCTACTATCATGAAATCAACCAATAACTGATGTTGGCAGGGCTGTGGGGCAAGAGGAACCCTGCTCTACTGCTGGCAGGAGTTCAGACTGGTTAACAACCACTGTGGAAAGCAGTATGGAGATACCTCAAAGAACTAGGATTGGTGGTCCCATTTTACCCAGCTCTCCCCTTGCAGTGTGTCTTCCCCAAAGAATTAAAAGAATCATCCCACAGTGATATATGCTCACCCATGTTCATAGCAGTACAATTCATAATAGCTAAAACTTGGAATCAGCCCAGTTGCCCATCAACAGGAGACTGGATGAAGAAAATGTGGTAGTTTTATAAAATATAATACTACTCAGCCGTAAAGAATGAGAAACTGGAGATATTTATAGCTAAATGGATGCACATTGAGACTATAATCTTAAGTGAAATAAATAGGACACATATGTGTAAATACCAAATAGTTTCTCTGGTGTGAGAAATTGAAAGTCTAAATAAGGATTAAAAGGTATAATAAATAATGTGAAATAGGAAGCAAAGGAACAAAGGGAAATGGGAAATGAGAGAGGTGGGGGAAAAGAAATATGTGAATGGAATTAACATTAGAAAAATAAAAAATGGAAAGAAAGTGTTTGTAGATGGGGAGGAGAGGAGAGGTTGAAGGGAGGGTAGGGACATGGGGAAAAATAAGAACAAAGATGGATTATGTAAAGGCGCAATTTTCCAATGATGAGTGTCATTACATTGTATACCTTAAATGTACCAAGAAAACTGATTAATTAAAAAATAGAAACAAAGAAACAAAGAAATAAATAAAGAGAAGATACACAGTATGTTATGCTTCTGTGGTAGCCCTCTTAGTAACAAAATTAATATAAACATACACATATGTATGTGTGTTAGATTCATGTGTGTGTGCATGTACTTAATATAAAAAGATATTTTACAAGTATAAATGTGATGTACAGGGTTTACTGTGCTCTTTATTTTTTTTATTTTTAATACTGGGGATTGAACTCAGGTCCCTGTGCTTGCGAGGCAGATGGCAGAACCACTGAGCTAAATCCCCAGCCCCGACTATGATCTTTATTTTAAAATGCTCAATAGTAAGAATAGGAAAATCTATGACTATGTGCAACTAAACTATTTAAAACAATGAAGGCTGGGCATAATTCAGTGGTTCCACCACCTGCCATGCAAGCACAAAGTCCCAAGTTCAAACATGGGTAAAAAATTACTGTTATGTATTGACTTTTCATTATCATTTTATTTTCCTGTTGTTGGTTCTTTTATTTTTTATTTTTCCCACTCTCCCTTTAATTTCTTGCCTTGTCTCTTATATTTGCTCTGTTGGCCCCTATGGAGTTGTGATCTTCATTTTCTTTTTCTAGGATATTGTTTAAAAGTGTTTGGAGTGCTGGTTTGGTGTTCATGAAATTTCTCAGGTGTTCTTTATCATGGAAGTATCTTATTTCCCCATCAACTTTAAAAGATTTTTGCAGGATACATCAGTCTATGTTGGAGGTTTCTTTTCGGACTTGAAGTACCTCACTCCAGGATCTCCTTAACTTTAAAGTTTGTGTTGAAAAGTCTGCTGTGATTCTGATGGGCTTTCCTTTGTGTGGGATTTGTTTCTTTTCTCTTACTGCTTGTAGTATTTTGTTCTTCTGTTGGGTTTCCAGGATCTTGATTATTACATGTCTAGGTGTAAATTTTTTTTGATCATGACTAGTTGGAGTCCTATATGCCTCAATTATCTGTATGTTAAATTCTTCCCCTCTGTTTAGGAAGTTTTCTGTCATTAATTCTGTGAACCCTTTTTGTAAATATCATTTGTACTTTCTCCTGCCACTTCATGGATTCCTATCAGTCTCATATTATCCTTCTTTGCATCATCTAAGTGTTGTTAGATTGATTTCCCATGGCCCCATATTGTTTTTAAGAGGTTTCTCTTTTCACTGACCACAGTCCTAGCTCTTACATCTGAAATTCTATCTTCACATTTGTTCATTCTGCTGCAAATACTTTCAATAGAGTTTTTAATCTCTTGGATATCAGTTTGAATCAGTTTCAGGTTTCCATTTCTTTCCTATGTTGGAAATTCATGGCTTCTATCATGGTCTTGAGCTCATCTATTTTTACAAATCTGTTTCTGTTCTATAGTCTCAAATCATGTCTTTCAATATTTTCACCATCTCTTAGTTATCTGGGAAATTATTTCTGTTGGGAATTTTTCTAGAGCCTCATTTATCTGTTTTTTTACTTCCTGTGCTATCAGTTCAGGGTAACCAGATAGTTGACTGTCAGAGTTTCCCAATGCATTTCCCTCAGTGTTTACCTTTGGTGGGATGGAAATCTGTTTTTGTGTCTTGTGTCTTGTTTAAATGCCTTTTCATTTCTATTTTTGTCATTGGTAATGTCCTTGGTTTAATTCCTGGGTTAATGCTTCAATCTTCTAGATATAGCTGGTTGTCAGGTTTTGAGTCTCTAATGTCTCTGAGGCAAACTCATTTGCATTATACCAGGGAGGATGACTGATTAGATCAATCAAAACATGTTCACCCAAGTGATACAGTCAGTAACCCAATAGCATCAAACACAGCTTAGAAAATGACAAATTGGGGTAGTTATTAATCTAACACCTTTAACCACATGAATGAAATAAAAATTGAGGACCAGCCCAAAATATGTTTATAGTGAATAAACTCTTCAATATAGAAACTTTACTCTTTAGGCTGGGGGTTCAAAAGGAGTTGGTGAGGGAGGGATAAATAGGATAGAGAAACATTAGAAGTGAGGTCAGACGACACAGGAAGATCACACAACCTCTAGGAAACTGTTGAAGAGAAGAGGAGAAGACAGAATAAAATATTCCCAAGAACAGAACAAATTAACAGCAATAGAGAGGCTAGAGGCTGTAATCAGTCTGTAAACAGTGGGCAGGAGTATGCAGGTCTAAGCTAATTAGTCTCAGCAAGCCAGCTGCTGTCCCCTGAGGTTCAGGCTGATTTTTGGCTGCGAGGCCCAAGTTGAGATCTCTGTCCTCCTGCTGGGTTGAACTGTGCAAGGTCCTACTACAGGTTCCAGCTGTCTTTCCCCTGAAGTTAGGCCAGGTTCTTATGTGAAATGCTGGTCCCTCTGACTCACCAACTATGGTGGTGTGCTGGGCCTTTACTGCAGATTTTCTTTCCTTTCCCAGTGGGCTTAAATTTTCATCTAGGAGCCTCAGAGAGGTCTTCTTTCTCTTGTTTGCCAGGGGAGGGGGGCACAAACACTGCTGTATTGGTGCCCGCACAGCTGGGCTCTTCTGTCATGCTGGGTCAATGGGGTGGGCCTCCCTGGTACCAAAATTAAAACACACACATACAAAAACAATGAATTAACATGTTCTAGAAACACTAAATGTCATATTTTATTTTGCCTCTATACTAAATCTAAATATGAACATAAAGTTAAGGTAGGTGGGGAGGGAAAAGGGAACAAAAAGAATAAAGAAAAATGTGTTAAGTACATGTATGTACTCCTTAACACCATGTACTGCAAACACGTACTAATTAATTTAATTTATTTAAAATCTTGTACAACAGAGTAAAAAGGAACTAATGAACTAACACCTCGACAGAATTGTGATAAATGAGATACAGAGATGATTAAAATTTAATGCTTGGTGTTGTAGAGTCATTTTACCTTTACACAAAATTTCCTGAAAACTTTTTCATTGCCCTTTTCACATCTTTTTTCAGTTATGGAAGGAATCAGTAAGCGACACACAGAGAGGCAGCAGAATGGAAGTAAAATAACAAATTTACTCATCAATAAGGGTCGATCACACATAAACCATGCCTGGATCAAAGATGCACTGGATTACAACTCCTCCTTTTATAGGGCCTCACAGCCTTGACTTCATTTGGGTGCTTACATTTCATGCTCACAGTTCATATCATGGTCACAGAATAGTTAATCTTTTCAACCCAGATGTAACAGTTCTTTGCAGTTGGGGAGTTTACCTTTAATATTCCCCTAGTTATCTATTCTAGTCCATAGGAAAGGGGAGTGTTCAGGGTCAGGGGAGCAAATGTTAGCAATGGGTCCTTTCATTTAGACACTTTTATGATCATGTGGCTCCATTCTCATCAGAGCTCAAGACCTTGCTGTGCCCTGTTATCTCAGGGTAAGGCTAAATGCCTCATTCAGCAATTAGTGCCTTTGGTGCCTATTAGTTTTGAGCTAAACAAAACAAGCTGCTGTTAGAGACAGCAGAAGCCACTTTACATTGTAACACTTTATAGGTTTTTGGTATTTATAAAAGTTTTCCCTATCAGTTCCTTAAATGTTAGATGATGGGATTCAGCACGGGAATCACAGTGGTGTAAAATATGGACACCACCATGTCCTGCTCCAAGGCGTAGCTGGAACTCGGTCTCACGTACATGAAGAGGATCGTCCCGTAATAAATGGACACTCTGGCTAGGTGAGAGCCACAGGAGGAGAACACTTTCCTCCTCCCTTCAGCAGAACGCATCCTCAGGATGGCCAACAGGATGAAGCCATAGGAGATGAGGACGATCAGGATGGTGACCACCTCAATGGAGCTCACAAAGAGGAAGAGGAGAAGCTCATTGATTCGAGTGTCAGAGCAGGAAATAGTGAGGAGAGGAGGGATATCACAAAAGATGTGTCTGATTTCATTGGACCCACAGAAGGATAGGCTGGAAGTGGCCCCCGTGTGTACAACAGCGTGTAGAATCCCCCCAACATAGGAGGCGATGATGAGTGGCACATAGACCCTGGGCGTCATGCTCACAGTGTACAGCAGGGCCTTGTAGATGGCTACATAGGGGTCATAAGCCATTGCCGCCAAGAGAAAGTATTCTGTGGTCTCCAAAGTAACAGCAAAAAATTATGGTGTCACACATCCACAGAATGGGAACGTCTGGATTTCTATTTGGTCAGTTGTAATTTCACCATTTTCATTCCTAACTGCATGGATTTGTGCATTTTCTTTCTCTCTCTCTCTCTCTCTCTCTCTCTCTCTCTCTCTCTCTCTCTCTCTCTTTTTCTTTCTTTCTTTTTTGATGTGGTAGGCTAAGGGCTTGTCAATTTTGTTTATTCTTTCAAAGAACCAAGTCTTTGCTTCATTGATTTTTGTATCATTCTCTTAGTCTCCATTGCATTGCTATTTGCTCTAATCTTTTTTTTTTCTTTTATTGGGTTTATGGGTACATTTTAGGTATACAGTACTATTACATTTATTATTGGGATCTTGTACCTTTACATGACAGGTCTTGATTCTCATTTTTCCCCCTTGTCCGTGCCCTCCCTTCACCCCCTCCTCCCCTTCCCATTTACAAACACTTTATTTCCATTTTTTCGTACTTTTTTCTTTTCCCTTATTTCCTTTCCCCTACCCTTCCCATTTCCCATACACCTTTAGCCCTTTTCTTCCTATTATTTACTCTAATCTTTATATATAATCTATCTATCTATCTATCTTCCTCTTGGATTATTCTCTTTAGAAGAATGTAGTGACCTTTGTATCGTATAGGTAGCTTTGGTTTGAAATCTATTGTGTCTGCCTATAAAATAGCTACCCCTACTTTTTCCTGGGTTTCTGTCACACAGAGAACTGTTTTCCATACTTTTGAGTTCAGTCTGTGAATGGCTTTTTGAATTAGGTGCTTTTCTTGAATACAGCTTATTGTTCATTTTTGCTTCTTAATCCATTCTGCCAGTCTATTTGTTTAGATTGGTGAATTGAGGCCATTAACATGAATGTTTATAACTGATATGGATTGCCTCATCTTTGTCATGTTATTTTCCTGGTTTTGGCTCTTTTATTTTTCACTCCTCCCCCCTCTCTCTAATTTCTGGCCTTGCCTGATGGCTTTTCTCTGTTAGGCATCTGGGAGTTGTGACTTTCAATGTCCTTTTCTAGGATATTGTTTAGAATTGTTTGGAGTGCTTGTTTGCTATTAATGAAGTTTCTCAGGTATTCTTTGTCACGGAAGTATCTCATTTCCCCATCAAGTTTAAAAAATGTTTTGCAGGATACATCAGTCTAGGTTGGAGGTTGTTTTCTTTTAGGGCTTGGAATACCTCACTCCAGGCTCTCCTTGACTTGAGGTATTGTGTTGAAAAATGTGTTGTGATTCTCATGGGCTGTCTTTTGTATGTGATTTGTTTCTTTTTACTAACTACTTGCAGTATTTCACTCTTCAGCTGGGTTCCAAGTTCTTGACCATTTTATATCTAGGTGTAGATTTATTTTTTATCACAGCTTTTTAGAGTGCTATATGCCTCACTTCTCTGTATGTCAAATTCTTTTGCCTCTTTGAGAATTTTTCTGTAATTAATTCTGTGAAAAGTTTTTTATGTCATTTCTACTTTCTCCTGCCTTTTCATGGGCTCCTATATGTCTTATGTTATTCTACCTTGTGTCATCTAGGAGCTTCTAGATCAATTTCTGAGAGCCACTTACTACTTTTAAGAGTTATGTCTTTACATGGTGATTAAGTGCAATTTTGTCTTTGAGATCTGATATTCTGTTTTCACATTGACTCATTAAGCTGTAAATATTTTCAATAGAGTTTTAAATCTAGATCTGTTTGAATCTGCTTCATGGAGTCCATTTTTTTCCTCTGCTGGGCATTCATGGCTTCAGTCATGGTCCTGAGCACATGTATTTTTTTAATCTGTCTCTTATCTTGCATTTTATTCTGCTCACCATCTCTGTAGTTATCTGGAAAATTATTTCTATTCTGAATTTTTCTAGAGCCTCATCCATTTTGTTACTTCCTGAGCTATCAGTTCAGGGTGTCCAGGTGGTGGATTATCAGATTTTTTCACCTGATTTCACCCAGAATTTTCCTTTGTGAGCTGGAAATCTGGGTTGGCACATTTCCTTAGGTGTCTTCTCATCTCCCTTTTTGTTGCAAGTGCAGTTCTTGATTTAATTCCTTTTTGATACTCCACTATTGTTTATTGTGAGTATCTTTGTTGATTGCCTTTAGAACCCTTATGGAATGGTTGCTTCTCAGAGCTGTCTTCTATATATAGCTGATCTTTAGGTTTTGAGTCTCTAGTGACTCTTAGGCAATCTCATTTTCAATATACCAGGAAGGACTACTGGTTAGATCAATCGCAACACTTTAGGCTAAGTGACACAATCAGCAAAAACAGTAGCATCAAACACAGCTTTGAAAATGACAATATATGCAGCTATTTATCACCTTTAACCTTGTGAATTAAATAAAAATTGAGGACCAGCTCAAAATATGTTTATAGTGAGTAATCTCTTCAATATAACAAATTTACCTTTCTGGATGAGGACTTAGAAAGTTTTGGGGAGGGAGGGATAAATACATAAAAGGATAGGGAAAGGTTAGAAGTGAGGCTAGAAAGGTTAGAAGTGAACAGGCAGATCACACAAACATTCAGAAACTGTTGAGGAGAAGAGGGAAAGACAGAATGAAAGAAAATGATGAGAACAAAACAGCATAACATCAATAGAGAAGCTAAAAACTGTATTCACTTTTCTATAAAACTAATAACAATTGAGAGAAGAAAAATGGGGAAAGAAAAGAAAAAGGAAAAATGTGATCTGAATTTGATAGGGACAGGAACAGAAAGGGAGAGAGATGAAGAATAAGGTGGGGGGAGAGAAATTTACAAAAAAATTAAATATTAAAATTTAAAATGAGAAAAAACTTTTAAAAAGTAAATAAAAGGGCCTCGCTCAGGGCATGTCTCTGCTGTCACAATAGACAACATGGGCAGCAGTGTGCAGATCTAAGTCCATTAGTCTCGCAAGCCAGCAGCAGTACATTGAGATTCAGGCTGATTTCTGGTTGCAAGGCCCAAGTTGATCTTCCTGGCCTTCTCCTGGGTTGAATTTTGTAAAGTAGTACTCCAGTTTCCAGCTGCCCTACCCCTGAAAATAGTCCAGATTCCAGTAGGAAGTGTTTACTCCTGCAACTTACCAACAGTGGTGGTCTGGTGGGCCTTTATTGCAGAGATTTTCTTCATTTTTCCAGTGAGCTTCAGTTTTCATCAAGGAACCTCAGAGAGGCTCTCTCTCTGTTGTTCACTTCTGCTCTATCTTGTGGAGCTCAGAACAATGGCATTTATGATCTCTTGCACTTCTGAGGTATTGATCCAGATAGCAGTGCACACTGCCTAGTGTCCAGAGGCCTGGGGGCGTCAGCAGTGGCTGGAGGCCAGTGTGGGGCCAGGGCTCATGGCAGCCTGCACATAGATTTCTCTTCTTAATAGGGGACTGACCATTCTGGTGCCTGATCACAGAAATCGATCCACTTTGCATCTCTGAATATGACTAATTTAAAACAGACAGATGCTGCACATAGCATTCATTGAGATTGTATCTAAGGACAATGAACACTCATAAAATTACTCCTGGGAGACTATTCTATGCTGGATACTCTGTGTGGCTTTTCTAAGACTGAGATCAGCTCACTTTGATGCTGTGATCCTTGGCCCTTTGTTTTGGGTCCTTGAACAGTTTCTAATCTTGCCTTTGTCCTGATCTGTGAGGAATTTCCTCAGCTTTGATTTCAGTCCACAGCATCTACACCCATGAGGCAAGGCCCTGAATATTGGCACAATCTTGTTTCAGTTAACTCATGTTTTCCTAGTCTTCATTTTGCTGAATTGATGTGTGTTTCAAGGTTTCATTAGAGGAAGAGGCTCTCATTGTAGATACTTTTCTTTGATCCAGCTCAATTTTGTAGCAAAGCGGTGAATATCCTGAGATGTTGCCAGAAAAACTGCATCAGAACATCGCAATCAAAGTAACATTGCTCCAAGTGATAATCTATCAATGTGCATATGACATTTAAAATAATATTTTTTGTTTTCATGTTCTATTTTCTTCTGATCAGTTGTACAAAGTAGATCCACCCAGCTGTATTGGAACAAGGAATGCTTGGAGCAGAAGCTATCCTTACAACTTCTCCAACATTAATGCAATACAGTGTTAAGAGTCACAACACTGACTATATTGTGGAGAGGACATCATGTTATAAAGAACAAGTCATTGAAACTGGAGCATCTTTAAAGTTATTTTCAGATCATGATGTTGTAAATGAATTTTTCTGGAAGAAAGGAATAGCCTACTTCAGCAATATTTCCATATCTTGCTTCTGTATAAAATTCAAAACTTTCTTCCATTCCAGAATCACTCTTGAGATTTCTTCCATGCCATCTAGGGTTCCATAAGTGTTAAGGAAAATTTGTAGTCATAATGGTCTTCTGGAATATGACTGTATTGTTTCTTAGATGAAGCAAAAGAAACATTATTTTGGAAGATAGAAGGTGAAAACAAAAAAGTAGGATGATCTCATTTATACCAAAAACAATGGCTAAAATTGTTCACAAATTCATCTAGAATTGATGTTCAGTTAACCTGCAACAAACTTTACAGGTTCTTCCTTTCTCTAGAAGCATCATGGAAATCCAAGGTTGGTGAAAATCCCTTTCCCATCAGTGGTTATTTTCCAAGTTAGTATAAAAGAATGTAAAGCATTGGCCTTGTTCCCAACGTAAGTTAAAAAATTTCATTTCACGTAGCTCAGTTACCTTTCCCTTTAAGATTGCTCTTTGATTTTCACTGTTTTTGTACACCTACCATCTCTGACCACTTAATATATTTATTTTATTAGTTTCAGTGATGAGAATTTGGTTGTGATTCAGATCTTCCAATACGCTGACCCTGTCATGTTCATGGCAGGTTGTGCATCTGCTTGACCTCCGAGTTGTACCTCCAAGGCATGAAACGTAGGATTTACTTAAAATATAACTGATGAACAACGCATGAATGAAGATGTTACCCTTGCTGTGTGGGCTCCTCCTCTTCACAGCTTTGGTTAGCTCTGTCTGTGCATCTGTCCTCATTCTCAGGTATGCGTCTGTCGCTTTGTGCACAGCTCACCTGTCACTCGCTACCCCAGCTCTCTTCTCCCCCTGCAGTATTTAAGTTCTAATTGTTGTGAAACTTCAGTTAAGGTTCCAGATGTAAAAAATATCAGGGATCAGAACATGGTGGCATAAAGTATGTGCCTTTGGCACCCTTGGGACTTAAAAATTAAGGAGTTAGAAAGGGCCTCAGACTCAGCTCTCTAACCACCCCTTACCCATTTATCTCCTGATCCCCTTCCTCCCTCAAAGCTATTCTTATAAACCAGAATTCATCTTCTTAAAGGTGAGTGACACACAGTAAAACTTCTGTCGCCCCCAAAATCCATCAAACCTAGAGGAGCATTTGGCTTTCTAGCACCCTTTCTATGTCCGTGCTGACCACAGAGAGATTCCGTGGCCTCACGTCTGTGAAAGGGTCGTCTTGGAGGTTTCTGATCTGTAACAGAGGAAGGACGTTCTCCACACAGGCAGGAGAACCAGAAAGGGAAGGCAAGTGAGGTGCTCTTCCCTTGGTGGACTGCCAGCCATCAGCCCCTCTGCCCAGTGAGGAGTCAACAGGGCAATCCATCCTTACTGAAGCATTAAGACATCAGGACTTATGTCTGTCTTTGGTTCTGTTTCTGCAGTTGCATACACCATGAGTCCTTTTTTAACTTTTGGAGCAAATCATTAATACAGAATGAGATCTGTTTTGGTATGTAGTTATGTGTGTATAGCACATTTTGATTTTTAAATTACCTTTATCCCTCTTATACTCCTCTCTCCTACCTCTTCATTCCTAGATTACTTTCTTCTTCCTCTTGTTCTCCCACCTCCTTTTTCTTCCTCTCTCTCTAATTGAATCTTCTAGAAATCCAGTATTTCCATGAGTTTACTAAAGAGTCAGTCAGTTTTTCATCATTTGTTTTTGATCCACCTATGTCAATCAGATGGCTAGAGCTACATGCATTTGTGCCTCTGATTTTTGTTCTGTATCTCTGACAACATGTCTGATCTTTCAGTATACCACAGAGTTTTGTTGCTCTGGCTTCTCAGTGTAATTTGAGATTAGTTAGTGTGATTCCTCTGGCATTGCTCATTGGGCTCAGGAATGCTTGATGTTTTCCTTGTCTTTTATACTTCCACATGAATTAATTTTTTTTTCTAGTTTGGTGAAGATATTTGTTGATATTGTCATAGGGATCACATGGAATTACAAAACATTTATGGAATATAGCCTCTTTAATGATGTAATTTCTATGTATCCATGAACAAAGGAGGTATTTTCAAATTTGAGTATCTGGTTTGATTTTAGATGGCTAAATCTTTCCCATTTAGGTCAACTGCTAAGTATTTTACTTTGTATTTTGAAGCTATTGTGAATAGCATAATTTCTTTATTTCTTTCACAGTAGGACCATGACTGGCATAGAGAAAAGTTATTGATTATTGTGTTTTGAGTTTATATTTGCAATTTGCATGAATTTATTTTCATCAGGTCTCAAAGTCTTCTGCTGGAACTGTTAGTGTCTCCTTTTTTAAATTTTTTTTTTCTCATTGAGTTTATTGGTACATTTTAGATATACAGTATAGTTACATTCATCATTGGGATCTTGTACCTTTACATGACAGGTCTTGGTTCTCATTTTTTCCCCTTGTCCCTTGTCCCTGTCCTCCCTCCACCCCCTCCTCCCCACTCCCTTTACAAACACTTTATTTCTATTTTTTCATTTTCTCCTATTTTTTTCCTTGTCCTTATTACCTTTCTCCTACACTTTCCACTTTCCCTACACCTTTAGCCCCTTTCTTCCTTTTTCACATTGTCAATTATCTCATTAAGATCTTGTGTACTATTATAGTTTGTTCATACCAGAGAAACTATTTGGTATTTACACTTGTGTGACTTATTTATTTCACGTTAATGTCTTCTATATAAAGGGTTCTATGTTTGGTAAACAGGGATAATCTATCTTCTTCCTTACCTGTACTCCTTTTATTTTTCTCTTTTTCCTAATTATTCCAGTGAAAGCTTTAGGTACTCTTTGCACAGTATTGTTGAGAGGACACTTTGTCTCATTCCTGACATCAGAAGTACTAATTTTAGACAATTCCTATGTGGTATGATGGCTTCACTCAATTTATTTATTTTTTTCTCATTGAGTTTATTGGTACTTTTTAGGTAACAGTACAGTTACATTCATCACTGGGATCTTGTACCATTACATGATGCATCTTGGTTCTTATTTTTCCCCATTCCTCTGCCCTTTCCCCCCCCCCCCCATTCTTCCCTATTTATGAAGACTTTTTTCCATTATTCCATTTTCTCATATTTTTTCTTTTCCCTTGTTTCCTTTCCCTGACACCTCTCACTTCCCCTACTCCTTCTCTCAATTTAAACCGCAGTTCTTCTATCCTTTTTTTCTTCAGGTTATTTTTGTTTTCTCACAAAGGGCTGTTAAAGTTTGGAAGGTCTTTTCTATGTTTATTAAGAAGATCATGTGGCTTCAGACCTTACTTCTCTTTATGTGGTGTAACGTATTCATTGATTTATGCATGTTGAACCATTCTTATATCACTGTGATGCAAATACCTTGGTCAGACTGTGTGATGTTTTCAGTGTGTTGGGCAGTCTGTTATTTAACTTCCAGATGTTTGTAAATTTCTGTGTTTTCTTTTGCTTTCATTCTAATTTCAATGTGCTATATTCTGATAATAGAATGAGATGATTTTGATTTTTTTGTATTTATTCAAGCCTTCATGAACAGTATGTGGTGTATTCTGGAGAAAGCTCCATGTATTGCTGACAGTAATGTGTATTCTGCTGTAGCATTTTAGAGCATTGTCTAGATTATTATTAAGTACATGTACTGAAATCTGTGTATCATATCTGATGTATCTTTTTACATTTTTTCAGTTGATCTAATTGTGAAAATTGAGTACTGAGTCTGCCACAATGCCTCTGTTGGTGTTTGTTGCTTTTATGTGAAATAGTGTGTTCCCATGTTTCCTTTATGAAGTTAGCTGCAATGTTTATGTATATACATATATATGTATAAAATTGTTCCATTATTATCTCTACATTAGTAATTCAGAAGCAAAACCAGTTTTTCATATTTTGCTGTGGGGTATTATTATCTTCTAATAATGATATTTCCATTATATAGCATTCTGATTTGGCACAGTAAATTCCATGACAATATCTCATATTATATCAGACAACTTCCATTATATGAGCTATGCAGTGATGTAGGAAAATAATTAAGTAATTGCAAATATAGCTTAAATGTTTACAAATGCATTGGATTATGTTTATTTAATAACAGGCTATAAATTTTCTCTTAGATGACAAAGAAAATAAGTTAATCTTAATTTAATTAAAATTGAATTAAATAATTGATTAAAATTAAATAAATAAAATTAAAAGAAATAGAATTTCTTTGCCTTAAATGTTGTCTATAAATGGATAGAGTGCTTTGGCAACAAAAATGATGGCATAATTTGTGTACATCATAGAAATGCCTATAAGTGCAAATAAAGTAAATCCACATCTTATAAAATTGAGAGGAAGAGGAACCCAAAACTATATGAAATTACTGAGAATTTACAATGAATGAGGACCCCAAACAGCATATGGAGCAGTATATGTTTACTAAATCCTATTTGAATTGCAAAGTAAAACAGTTACAAATACCTTCAAGGATCAATTCTAAAAATATAGATAAGAAAGGAACAATAAATAATAATATTATATAATTCTGGTGTAGGATGTTATAATTTTTTGAAGGATTCAGAAATTTCAGTAATGTACACATTTAAAAGATTTGACCAAACCATTTAATAGTCAAGTTGTAAAACTTCAATATATTCCTAATTTTACAAATAGAGATATTGCAGTTAACTTCATACACTCAAAATAATAAAATTTAATGTTATAAAAAGTAAGAAAATTCAACAAATAAATAATTCATACAGTCATATGTTGGGATTGAAACAGTCCATATAACAGTTTTTAAAATACTACTATAAAAAGTTTTCCTGGAACATGAAACAATACATTACAAGGTACTCTTAAAACAACAAAGATAAATTTGAAGCTGCAATTAGAGATTGTATACACAGAATATTTTAACAAATATTTTATTTCTCTACTTCACCTAAGCTTATAGAATGCTAGGTATTCTAAATTCTTCATCCATCCTTTTTATTTTTTTGTAACTTTTCACTATTAAAATGTAAGTAAAATGGGGGAAAATGTTCAGTAATTCATCACAGCCACACAGACATCAGCAGACGGGCAAAGAAGCTGTGGCTGAAGCTTCTTCTTCTCAGGTCTCAGAGAGCTGTGCTGAGCCGAGGTGAACAGGTCCACGCCTCACACAGGGCACAGCACGCAGGTCTGTGCTCTGTGACTTCACAGCGTTTCAGGTCCAACTCCTTACACAGTCGGAGTCCTAGTATTTCCCATATAGTGACAACATGTTCATCAAGCAGATTTCAATTACAAAGTGATTGCTAGATGTTAAAGTTTTAAGTAGCTACAGAAAGCAGCAACAATTACACAGGAAATGACAGAAACCATTGAACAACATAAATATTAATAACAACTTATTTAAGAGAACATGTATAAAACTGTCCAATATTGCTATTGCATTCTCTTTTCTTTAATAATTTTCATTATTTGCCAAATTGTTCTAACTTTAACATAGATCACTTTCCTATGACTTCTACTTCAGTATTTTACTTTATTATGCATCCAAAGTGGAGAACAAGTGGTTTCTTTTTTTTCTGTTAGCTTTTTGTATGTTGGCCAGTTAAATTTACCAAAAGAAATTTGAAAAATATGGAGGAATACTCTTCAAAAGGGGTATGAATTGAAATATATTAGTGTTGGTGGTACAGCGGAGAGCATAGCTGCTTCCCAAAATATTCTACGAAATCAAGTCCTCTGATAATAATGCGCAACAGTTATGTTTATTGCTCTACATATTTTACATCCATCTCCTGATCAGATGATCATGGAATTATACATGTAGTCTAGTTGAGGGGAATTAGAAATAAAATGTTGGTACATTAGTGAGGGTTATTCACTAAAAAGTTTCCAGATCTAGAATCCAAATGCTTGAATGTTGGATTTGAACACAATTGTTACTAAAATCATGGCCCTTATTCTCTATGTTATAAATGCAATGGCCTATGAAAATTGCAGTTATTTTTCATTATAAAATTCTCTAAAATTAGAGAAAGCACGAATACTGTATGATAGTGTTAAAAATGGCAAGCATGGTTCCTGCTTTTGCACATTATTTGCAATTAAATCACATATATTTAGTCAATGGATTTAACATGTACTATGATTTTCAGGATAGTGGAGAGGATGGACAGATAGGACCCAGATATGGTGATGAGGGACAGCAATAAGTTGGATCCAGCGCAAATGTAATCAATGATTTCAGCCTCATATGTGTCACTGCAGGACAGGGCTAATAGTGGGAATAAATCACAGAAAAAGTGCTGGATGATCTTAGAGTTGCAGAAGTGCAGTCTGCTATGGGAAACTGCACCCAAAATGGCATCCAAAAAGCCCATAACATAACAGCCAGTGAGCAGAGCATGGCACAGTCTTGTGGACATAATGACTGGATAGTGCAGGGGCCTGCAGATAGCTACATAGCGATCAAAGGCCATGGAGGAGAGAAGCAAACATTCAGCAGTGCCAAAGACTATAAAGAAGAACATCTGGGTGAAGCAGCCCAGGAAGGAGATGCTCTTGGTGGAAGTCAGTAAGTTCTGTAAGGTTTTAGGGGTGAAAACATTTGAATAGCTGAGGTCGAGAAATGACAGGTGAGTGAGAAAAAAGTACATGGGGGTGTGCAGCTGGGGATCCAGACGGATGATCAATATCATCCCCATGTTCCCCAGCACCGTGATCAGGTAAATCAGGAGGAAGAGCACGGAGAGGATCAACTTTGCCTCTTCGGAGTCCGTCAGCCCCGTGAGGATGAAGTCAGCCACACTGGTAAAGTTCCTTCTACTCATGGTGTCCTTCTGTTGAATTGTCAAAGGTGATACTTAGCTTGAGTGACTGCAAAAAAGTTTTGTCTGGGTGGCCTATTTATAATTAGGCTTATTTATGCTTAGTTTAGCATTTGTATAATTGGACAGAAACTACTGAACCAGGAATTAAAAATTCCATTGGGATATCAACAGATATAGGTATGAACTAACATTTGATTCCAATGTAAAAAGCATTTCTATCCTATTGAATTGGCATACACCTGATACCATTCTACACGCTTCCCTCTATTAACACATTTACTCCACATGTGAATTTTATGCTAGAGTTACTATTAACCCATATTTTCTGATCAAAAGAAGGGCACAGAACATAACTTGAGAAATAAGAATAATTATTTCTCAACCTTGGATTCTCCAAAGAGCTTTAACTCAGGAGAGTGTGCTCACAATGTATATAACGTTTCTCAGCAAACATAAGAAAGAATGTAAAATCTATGATTAAAAATTTAGTGTATTATTTATGCTCATTTAGTTCCCCATGTCATTTGATATTAATTACAAGTATATTTCACTTCGTAAGGAACTTATGTAGGGCACATTAAGGTTATAAACACCATATACTATGGCACTGCTCAATTATCAAAACTGAACGGCTCAAATG